GACAGTATAGTGGCTAAAAAATTGAACTGGAGCAGGGGAAATACAGATTCTCAAGTGGTTATGAGGCTTGTTGGATGTTCTTGTACCTGTACTATCTTTTAGTTACTTTTTTTGGAATACAATTCCCTCAGTTCCCCAGCTAGCACGTGAACTCAGGAAGTGTTAGTGCAAAAAGCAATGCCCCCCCCCCCAGGTCTGCCTACTTTACACAGTTTTTATAAAACTAAAAATGGAGACAAGGACAGTGTATATTTCCTTGAACTCCTTGAAAGAGAGAATATAAAAGTAACATCTATAAAAATACAGTACAGTACATATAAACTATCTTCATTAGGCAAACCAAAAAGACACAGCATTGTATTCAAGCTTTTGAGATATACTTATCTCTTCAGCAGAAAAATTAGACAGCATCTTCCACAAGACATGCAAGACAAATTATTGCCAAGACTTTTTATGATGTTGTTAATTGCTGTCAAGTTGACTTCAACTTATGGTGACACCATGAATGAGAGACCTCCAAATCACCCTATCATCAACAGCCCTGCTCAAGTCTTACAGATTGAGTCTAGCCATCTGGAATGCAGTCTTCCTCTTTTCTACTGCTTTCTACCTTACCAAACTGATAATTGGTTTATGAACCAATGGAGTCACATTCTTTGTGAAAGCAATTATGCAGTTCTGCATACACAGTACATGAGTGCTTGACCATCATAGATAATTGGTATATGACCAAGAAGGTTTTTGTGGATGAAGCCAAACTTTCACTTGTGATATACTGTGGACCTTCCATATTCACTGAGGTTAGGCACAGGACACATATGAAAGTGGAAAAACTGCAAATTAAGAAAACATTATTTTTTTTCCTGAGAGAACACTTCTCTAGGAATCTCTAGATCCTCCAGTACAACTCTGTGGTTTAATATCTGCCAAAAGTTGACCATAGATTCATGCTGGAGGACCTTCAAATGCCTAGAGAAGTGTTTTCCTTAGTAATCTCTAGGACGGGGTCCCCAAACTATGGCCTGTGGGCCAGATCCGGCCCGCCGAGGCCTTCCTACCACCACCCCCCCCACTGCTGCCACTCACGCCGGATGCCATTTTGTCTTCCAAAATGTTGCTTGGAGTTGTGCGCATGTACACACGCCTCCAGCCCCCCTAGAGGATCTGGGGGCCAGCGAACCAGCCCCTGGATCAAAAAGTCCGGGGACCCCTGCTCTAGGACCTCCAGTGCAACTCTGTGGTAAACTTCTAACATGTGCAGGAGGGCCTAGAGATTCCTAGAGAGGATATATTAATCAAATCCACAAAAAATCAAACCTACCAAAGTCAAAGCCACAAATGTGGAGCGTCGACTGTATTGGAAATTGATACCCAGAGGTATATACCAGAATCTCCATCACAAGTAGCCCTAATTGTGTAGTTCCAGATATTTTGAACTGCTGACTCCTATAAGCTCCTATCCTTGTTGAAGGCTAGGAATAATCGAAATCATCAAATAACCGGAGAGCACCATGTTTCTTAACCCTGGTGAAGATGCATTTTGGGTTATTCTAGCTTGCTCTGTCATCTTTATTTCAGTGAGGGCTTTGTTTCTAAAGACAACTGCAAGCAGGTGGAAAATTGTTTACTTCTTGGTAATTTGAATCCAAATGACTGGTGAAACATTATTATTTGCACATATAACAGTTATAAATGTGTCCAGTGTTATGGGGGAGAGGGGGGAAACAGCATTTTAAGTTATACATATAACTAGGTAAATGTGAGAGGGTATTTTAAACATAATAATAATAATAATAATAATAATAATAATAATAATAAATTTATTTATATACCGCCCAATGGTTGCCCAATAGGGCGGTTTACATCATAAAACACCATTACAATAAAGAACAATTCCCCCCCTTAAAACATTATTAAACAATAACATATGTTTTCCTCACTCACTCCTTGTGGTTTTTAAAGACACCACCACGAAATGTGTTTCTTTGCATTTCCATGTACGTAATCTTGGAAACCTGACTGTTGGCGCTACAGAATTCAGTCTGTAGAGATCTTGGTTTTATTCCCCATGTCTAGGTTTTTTTAAGTCTTTGCATGCATTCAAAGACCTTGATACTTACTATTCAACCCATGCCTTAATTTTGGTTCAATTTGTGCTTTTTCTGTAGACTGCAAGTACACCTGCCACCAGGAATGCAGAAACCACATCCAGCTGGATTGCAGTCAGCAGGAAGGGAAGACCTGCAACAAACCTTCTCCAGAAAACACCTTAACACAAAACTACAGCCAGGTATGAAAAGTGTTGTCATCTTGTTGGGAGAGCAGAGTGGGGCTGCAGAGTTTTCTGGAGGTTAAGAGATGGCAGACATGCAAGATAAGCTCATTGATAAGAGCTGACAGAATGTTGTACTTTTCTTCACTGACATTTCAGCATGATTTAAGAATTTGTAAAGAATGCCTGATTTCTGCCTTTATCAGATTTGTTTCTCAGCCTTGCATTTCTTCAGCATTTGATCATTTGTAGCTTGTGAGTCCAGTCCTCCTCTGTGTTAGCGTGTGGCCTACATATAAGTATGCAGGCCTGCATCTATACACGTGTACTCTAATGACATGAACGTGTTGGGATCTGTTGCAGTGTACATGGTGCTAGACCACATGGAGAAACCACTTGAAGAAAACTGACAAAGATTAACCCTGAGGCATGTAAGGTTTATGTTACTTCAGCTGTTTACAGAAAGGAAGCATTGATTAGTAGACCATCTCTAATTCAGGACTGGAAAAGTGTTCTTAATGATAGACAGAGAGCAAGAATGATTCTGGGAAAATGCTGAGACACCATTTGAAAGTTGGAGTGTAATGGGGAACAACAGAAAGTGTGCCTGTATCTGTTTCAAAGGAAAAGGCTTTGCTTTAGTTACTATCGGTTGGGAATTGACAGAACATACCAGCTATGCTAGTTCTTCACCGCTTCAGGTCACAGATTCACTGTGGGGATAATCACTAAAGTTTGTACATAAAAGAAAACCACAGTATTTGGTTTTCACAAAAGCAAAGAGAGGCATATTTTGTGGCACTGTGAGGAAATGCAGAATGCTAGACCAATTTGGCTTTTCATCTGATCTGGCAGGGCTCCTCCTGTTCTAGCGTGCTTTAGCCCTAAGTCATGGCATGCATGCAACAATGCTAAAGAAAATTACTACAGGTAATACGAAGGAAGGGTTGTAGTTTAGTGGTGAAACACATAGTTTGCATGGCATGCAAAAGGCCCCAGGTTCAATCTTGGGCCATGCCAATCTGGCATGTTCAACTAGAGCTAGTAAGGACTCTAGGCTGAAACTCTGAAGAGGATCTAACACTATGTGCAGACAATAATGAGCCTGATAGACTTGTGGTCTGATCCACTTTAAGGCAGCACTCTGTGTTTCTCAGTTTTCATTTTACAAAAATAGTCTTTCACTTTATTCATGTAAATGTGTTGAATCAACATCTGAAGAAGGGAACATGCTAGCGTTGCTACCTCAGTGCCTAATTCTATGACCTCCTTCACATGGAGCATGACAAGTCCAAATAGGAGAGTTTTCCCTCCACTTGGATGCTCTATTCAATTGAGGATCCTGGTTTATTTTGTAGGGTTTGTTCCTGGTCATAGGGGAGCATACCTGCATGGGAAGGCTCCCCTAGTCTTCCCCCTCTAAAGAAGAAGAGTGGCAGAGCTGGAGATGGAGGGAGTGTGTTAGAAAACAATTGAAGGACTTTTGTTTACCTTGTATTTGGTTTGGTATAAAGGCTTCAGAGTCAGGATGTGTGTTTCTTGTTCACCACAGCACCTCCTGTTTCATGTGACCGCTGGATCAAGAATCGCTTCATAAATACTGCAACTTTGTGGCAAATGTAGCAGAATGCATTTCTGAATGTCTTTTATCATGCCGTAAAACTAAAAGACCAAGCAGCTATCATGCAGGATGCTGATGATCTCCTTGAGGCTTCCACTGCAAAAATATTACTTCTGAATGGAGAGGGGTTTAGGTCAGTGTGTGAAGCGTGCCTATTTCTCTTGAAATTGCAACAGGTTAGGTTGTAGTCCCAAAAAGTTCTTCTTCAAATAGAAAACATGCATTTGTTCTCATTTCGAGTCAGTTTTAGCTTATGATGGCCCTATCATGGGGTTTTCTTGGCAATGTTTATTCAGAGGAGGTTTCCCATTGCCTGAGAGAGTGTGACTTGCCCAAAGTCACACAAGAGTGTTTCCATGGCTGAGCAGAGATTTGAACCTTGATATCCCAGAGTCCTAGGCCAGCTACACCACACTGGTTCTTTTTTTTAACATGGATGCAAAGAGTTTTTTGTGGGTTTTTCGGGCTGTGTGGCCATGTTCTAGAAGAGTTTGTTTCTGAAGATGCCAGCCACAGATGCTGCCGAAACGTCAGTAAAAAACCCTCTTCTAGAACATGGCCACACAACCTGAAAAAAACCACAAAAAACTATGGATGCCGGCTATGAAAGCCTATGACTTCACATGGATGCAAAGATTTTAAAGTACATCAGTCTTATTAGAATGAAGGAAATAATAATATCAACAGAAGAATAATGAAGTGGAGCTTGAAAATTCTGTTGCTTTTCTGTTTCCTGGGGTTAAATAGAGCCCTCCTATTTTCTTTATCTCAGCTTTGAGGGAGGCTAGGTTGGGAAATAGATTCCTTGTCCTGTAGGAAATGCTGAACCTTTTGCAAAAGATATTTCAATTCAATATCTTTGAAGAACCTGATGTTTTACTTTGTCACACACTCAGGATGAGAACTCTGAACCCTTTTATTTATGGTTGTTTCCTTGATTTGTGTTTCTTTACTGGCTGTTGTTCTTGTCTGCCTCCAAGTCATTTTTGACTTATGGTAACCCTATCAGAAAGTTTTCTTGGCAAGTTTCTTCAGAGGGGGTTTGCCATTGCAATCCTCTGAGGCTGAGAGTGTGTGACTTACTCAAGGTCACCCAGTAGATTTTAATGCTCAAGCGGGGAATTGAACCCTGGCCCTCAGAGTTGTAGTCCAGCACTCAAACCACTATAACTTACTCAAGGTAATTTTAAACACTGGTAATTTTAAACACTAAAACAGAAGAATATTTTGGTGTTGTTTTTTTTCAGTTCACTTTATGGAAGGTGAACTTGTGCCCTCCATGTGTTTTGGACCAAACCCATATATCCCAGCAACCATGGCCTGGTAGTAAGGGATTATGGGAGTTGTCCAAAATAGCTGAAGGACACCATCTTGCCTACTTCCAAACTTCATATCCCATTGCTTGTTATAATTATAGATGTCATGCTAGAATCCTGACAATAGATGGGCAATCTGTTACTTGAGGGCCACTTATGATCCTCAGTCTAATTTCATGAGTCCTCTGAAAATGATCAGTTCAGACCTCCTCTTGCAGCCTGCTAGATGGAGGGAGAGAAAGATAGGGATGGAAGGAAACAGGAAAGCAATAGAAGGAATGGAAGAGACAAAGAAAGAGAATTCCCTACTCATTTGGCTCTCTGGCTCTTGCATAGATCTGCTGACATTAAACTCCCAAACAAATACGATGCTCAAGAAAAAAAAATGTCCTTCCTCCTGTTGTACTCTTTAGTTTTATTGCTTAATTGTCTGATAAGCCCAGCCATGATATACAGTGGGCCCTTTGTCTCTGCTGGGGTTTCGTTCTAGGAACCCTTGCCCCTCATGGATAACAAAATATGTGGATGCTCAAGTCCCATTAAACACAATGGAAGTAAAATGTATCCTTTATATAAAATGGCAAAATCAAGGTTTGCTTTTTGGAATATATATATATATATATATATATATATACTTTCAAGCCATGGATGGCTGAATCTGGATAAAGAATCCGTGGATGGGGAGGGCCTACTGTACTAAGCATGGGTGGGCGAATTTTCTTTCCCTTTTTCCCTCTAAATTGGTTACTTTGTTATATTGCATGCTGGTATTTTTTATTGTTTCAAAATAAAATTCCACATTGTCCCACCAAAAAATAAATATGCACACAGGCCGGGCAAGTGTAGACAAATGAAATGAGTCACTAGTCCATCCCTGCTCATCTGGAAGCCAGAGAAATGTTTTGGGCCTGTGGTTTTGCACTACTCCCTTGAACTATATTCATACATAGGGATTAATGAGTTTTGCCCATAGGGGAAAATCTAGTAACTTTACAGAGTAAAAAAGAGAAGATGAGCCACCAAAGAGATTGTTGATGGAAAAGGGATTGTCTCAGATTCACAAAGTGGAAGTTGTCATTTTTTTTGGATGGGATAGGGTCTTCTGAGAAGGAAAGCCTCTGTATACTGGAAAAATTAGCTTGTATGAATTATAGTTTCTGAGGTCAGTGCAATTGCACATGAGATTACTAAAGTACATCTATCTGAAAGGGAATACAACTCACATGGATGTTCTCTTTCCATTTTTGCTCCCAGTTTATGGTTGTGATTCCAAGCCACTGAACAGAACTAGCGGTAATCAGTAGATTCAGTGGTAGGTAGCTAGGTAGGTCATTGTATAGTTGCGTGTAACGAAATCTGACCTAGATGCTTGAATGCACCTTCTCCCGCAGGAAACACTTGTCTAAAATTGAATTCTCTAATGCTGACATTGTTGCCTTACTGCTACATCTAAAAATGGTCTGAACAGTCTGATCAGATTATGATACAGAAAGTGGCAAAGTGTAAAGCCTGACATGCAGCAAAAATATATTATTTTTTTGGGTAAAAATGTTGATGTTAACCCACTGCTGAAGCCAGTAACCAGACATTGCAAGGAATTTAAACAGCAGAACTCGATATCAATTTATCCAGTCTGGAAGTGGCATACTGGGAAAAGTACATCAACAGGTCTTGTTTGGTTTGGATAATTTAGTTGTGTATGTTAACCGTTGAAAAAGGAGACAACATACCTTTTTATTCTCCCAAAATTGAACTTTTATTAGTTTTTTGGCAATTTCCCCCCTTCATCTCTTACACTTGAAACTCTGTGTGTGAGAGAGAGAG